GGACTGCATGTCTCTTCAGTGTTGGAAGAGGAGGAGGAGTGACAAATATCCAACAGTGCTTTTAACATTCAAATGCCATTTTTAAAATATTTATGCCCACTGGCCACCAAAAAAATCCACACTAACTTGGCATTCCTAAAGAACCTTTCCAACCCTTGGCTTTATAGAGACAGACAGACAGAGGTAACTCTTTATGTCTGAGGAAGAGGTATTCAAAGAGGATCTTTGAGTCATGATGAGTGGTATGTGCCCACTAAAAGCCTTGCCACAAAAACCTTGTCACTTCCTTTTTCTGTTTATTCATCAGAACTCTTCCATCAGCTCAGTCTCTGGCTGTACATAAACTTTTCAGTACTTCATAGCAAAGATTGTTAGAGTTTCTGCCTTTGAGATGAACAGTCCCGAGGGATGCAAATAAGTTTTGTATCCTTCTCATTTTGTTTTCTTGTCTTGAAGGGAAGACGAGCCATCTTTTCAAACATTTTAAATTTAAGACTTTCTGTGGAACAGGTCCTGATTTATAGTAGAACAGAAAAATAATTTATTTCCTTTTGTCCTAATATAAGGCAAATATAGCTGCTGCCTCCTCTTGTGATTTATCAAGTTTTGTTCATAAGTTCAGTTTAGCTTGGCAGTAAAGGTAATGTCTTCAATCTGAATATTAAAGACAAGAACATAAACATTAAATGAGTGGCCAGACCAACACACAGATCCAACCAAATTTAGATCTCAAAGATAAAACATGTAGAGGTATTTCATAGAGCTTCTGTTCTTATTTAAGCACCTGCTAATTGGTTGGCTGTAGGAGAGAGTACTGCAGTACTGAGTGTTTTCTATAAACCTTAAGAGAAAAACACAGGCGAAAGAGTGTGCTGGGCTGTTGTCTTCTGTGTGGAAAGTGGAATCTGAGCAAGATGGAAAAAATATATATGTCATGCCAAAAATCTCACCCTTTTCTACACTGAGTGGCTTAAACTCTCCAGGCTTTCATTTTTTCATCTTCTACTGCATCAATATTCATTCAGAATGCTGCTGCAAAGTTTGTGTCATCCTGTGTTTACATGCCCTATTTCTTTCTATTTTGCACTCCTGGCACATTGTTGCCTGATATTCCCTGCTGAGAGCCTTTCCTTTGACAAGCCTCTGCTGCGTGTTCATAACATTCTCAGACAAAACCTTTATGCTGGAGGTATTCCTTTTAAATAAAACACCCTTTAAATATCCTTTTTTGTTACCCAGAAGCTTAGAACCGAGCTGTTGATAAACTGAGATCAGAGTAGATATCCCTTGAGCAGGGTCGTTGCTTTTTAGACTTGCATATTTAAACAGGTAGGGATAGATGTACATGACTGAGTAGGAGTTTTTTTTGCTTTTTCAGATTCTAGGGCTTGTATTAACAGCATACAACTTATACATAAGTTAGACTCTACTCTTGAAGTACAAGTCTGGTGTTCTCTTGCTGCTTTTCATCCTATAGCTAACGTTCACAAGGATGTGATGGCATATACTTGGAGACTCACTAAAGATTGCAGTGATAATGTCTGCCATTTATCTTACAGTGGCTCTGAACTATGGAATTTATAAACAAGACCTTCCAGCTCCTGATGAGAAGCCACGGATAGTAGTGTTTGTTGATATGGGCCATTCTGCATTTCAAGTATCAGCTTGTGCGTTTAACAAGAGTAAACTAAAGGTAGTTAAACTGGTTGAAAATAAAAGGCTTTATGAAACATAAGAATCAAATTATCTGTAATTTTATTTTGCCTAAGTGGGGAAATATTTAATGCATGTGCAGTGGCAAAGAGGTGAAAGGTGAAGATTACTTTTATCAGTGCCCTTCATTTAGCATAGTTTTAAGCAGAGGCAGTAAATTGTTTGTTATACACCTATATAAGATATACGTGATAGCTGGAGTTGCTCTTTTACCTATATGGGCATAGGTATGCATTAAAAATGTGTTACTGTTTAGGTTGTGGTTGCATAGGGTTGTCATGTAGTTAAGAAGGCTTATTTCTGCCATTACAGCAAAGATCAATTTTTGGCTGATGTTGCTGATTAAAATAGATGCTGTGTGTTGGATCATAGCTGAATACACGCAGGCTTTTTCTGGAAATAGAGGCTTGATTTGAAAGACTCCTGCAACTTCCCCCCTGCCACTGAGAGTAAGACTAAATAATTGTATTCTTTTGAACCAGGTGCTTGGTACAGCGTTTGACCCTTTCTTGGGTGGAAGAAACTTTGATGGAAAGTTAGTAGATTATTTCTGTGCAGAAATAAAAGCAAAATACAAACTGGATCCAAAAGCAAAAGTTCGAGCTCTTCTCCGTCTGTATCAGGAATGTGAGAAGCTGAAGAAACTAATGAGTTCAAATAGCACAGACATTCCCTTGAATATAGAGTGCTTCATGAATGATACTGATGTATCTGGAAAAATGAACAGGTGAGGCCTAAGACAGGCTGTTGCTTTGTTGCCAGGTTTCTTAAGCTGATTTTCCATGTCCTAAAGAGACTTTTTGCAATAAAATTCAGGGCAAGAGCTGACGAGCTGTGGCACTTTCCTTTAATGCTTGAATAACTAAAGCTAAAATACACCGTTCGGCTACCTGAGCAGAGATGCATTGTTTGGGTGCAGTAATGTGTGCATGATAAGCATGGATTCTCTTTGTACAATGACACATTTTTAAAACCATATGGATGCATGGAAATCAGACTGGTGGGGTTGATTGGGCATTTTAGGTGTCCTCCAAGTTGAGGTAACCTAAATCCCCCAGCAATAAAGGGAACTTTTTTCTATGTGTCCTTACTGTATTGTAGATATTGACCAGGAAATGGTGGACAGAAACACTGTTATTGGAGGATGAGTTGATTATGACCTGGTGTAGATGTGGTTTTCCTTGTAAAGGGAGCACCAGTGCTCCCTTTGTGTTCGTGTTTGTAACCTCTGCTCAGAGGCAGAAATACAGAACCTGCCCAAACAATGCTTTCATCTCGCAGTATAATTGATTAACTGTGATAACAGCATAGGAAAATGTAGAGCAGCTGTTCATGCACTGCCTTGTCTGTTGCTGTCACCTCAGCCCAGTCACAGGGGCTTGATCTTGTTGCAGTGCAGTTAACAAATGTGGCCAGGCTCAGTTCAGAAACAACACCAGGAAATCATAGTGGTGGGACAGGCATGTTTTTGGTTAATTTTATTCTGTTCTTTAGGTCTCAGTTTGAAGAACTCTGTGCTGACTTACTGCAAAGGATAGAGGTGCCTCTGCTTTCACTGATGGAACAAATACAGCTGAAAGTGGAAGATGTGACAGCTGTAGAGATTGTCGGAGGAGCAACCCCCATTCCTGCCGTCAAAGAGAGAATCGCTAAATTCTTTGGCAAAGATGTCAGTACTACATTGAACGCAGATGAAGCCATAGCCAGAGGCTGTGCTCTGCAGGTAGGGTACTGGCAGCACTTGATTCCTTACACTTCAGTTTCCTGGGAGCACTCATGTGGAGAGCTAACCAAGCAGGCGGTTAGGAGAAATACTAACAGACCAGAGAAGAGAACCGTGTTCAGAGTGGTTCCTTTAAAAGCGGGCAAGGAAACATACTTGTTCACTGGTCTCCTCATGGAACTGTGGTGTTAGAGTTCACAGTATTTCTGTGGCATGCTCTTTTATTTAAAGTACTGCTTTTATTTTTTTTTTTTTTGAGCAAAACATTTTCTTCCTTCTTTTTCTGTCTTACTGATTCTCTTATTTCACTTCCTCTTCCCTTTTTTCTTTATCCTATTTTACTAATTGCTTTCTCTTACAAGCAGTTAATTCTCTGCAGGGAAGGATGCAGGAGCTGTAAGATTTTCTTCTAGGGCTAGGTAGTGCAGCACTTCCATTCTTTGCAGTCTTGCTATTTCTTTAGACTTCATTTTCACAAGGCATAGTAAAAACTGACATTCCTAGATTAAATGTTTGAACCAAGAATAATTGGGTTGTCTTAAGTGGACCAAATGTCTCACCAATTCAAAGAGTATCTTTTATTCCATAGTGTGTGTGTGTGTGTTTTTTTTTTTTTTTTTTTTTTAACAGATTTCATTAAAATCAAGCAACTCGCCTAACTTGATTTTAGTAAAGCCAATGCAGTTCTCATTTTCCTTTGCTTATAGAGAGTTGTTTTAATGCATTGGGTGGGCAGCAGGAGCAGAAAGTTAATGAACTATAATACATGTCTGTTTTCTTTTAGTGTGCAATTCTTTCCCCAGCTTTTAAAGTGAGAGAATTCTCTGTGACAGATGCAACACCATTCCCAATATCTCTTTTGTGGAACACAGAAGCTGAAGACACTGAAGGGTAAGTACCTCAAAATACAGTTTTCAGAAAGTTTTGGACTTCAGAATTCAAAGATAAGGTTCTTGATTCAATTTAAATTATATTGACATTTTAATGCAGAGCTTGTGTGGGTTCTGCACCAGAGACTGACAGCTGGGTTCTCTATAAAAGCATGAGTTAGTTTTAGCCATAAATATCTTCATAGTTTTTAAAATTAAATATTTACAACTTAAATAAGCTGTCAGCTGATGTTTTGTTTCCTTGTATTTCCCACATCTGTGATATTAACTGCATGAATGAGAACTTTTTTAACTCAAGGACTTCCTAATGCCTATTATTTACTGCTTTAATATGAACATTATGAATTATGTAAATGTTGTTACCTTCTGTGGCTATTGATTGTCCAGCTGAAAGCACAAGTGAGGGTTTAACCCTTCTGAGGTTTCACTGACTCACTTGGCTGGAAGGGAGAAGAGATTTCTTGTAATGGCAGTGTCTTAAGACGGTGCCATTAATTATGTCATGCCCTTGGGAAATGCAGCTCTTGCTGTTTAGGCTGTACAGAGAAGTAAATTTTACCTTGATAATTTAGGGAGAATAGTAGAGGGATCTGTTCATTCTTTTTCTGTGTTCTCTGTAGTTTAGCTTTTGGTCTTTGTATCTTTCTTCTGGGAAGGAACCTAATGCTTGTAATGTTAACCTGTACTTTCTTCTTAGAAGCCTGTGACCTACCAAGTGAAATACATCTCATGTTTAGGTTGCCAGATGGCTCTTTCCACAGTTAAGAGATTAAAAAAAAAAGTTGGAAATTAGAAAGAATCAGAGTGACAAAAGAAGAGGACAGAGTCTAGAAAAAGAACCAAGCTGTGGGATATGAAATTTCCCCCCTGCTTCTCTCTCTCCCCTCCACTCCCTTTGCTTCTTTCCTAACTCTGCATTCTCTCTCAGCTCCTTTGTCATATCGAGGAAGGAATAATAATCTGGTGTCAGGATTCTCAGCTGAGCCATAGAACACAAATGAGTAAGGAATTAACAGGCCTATAATTAGTTTTTTGAGCCTAACTGAGGAAGGGTGCAAATTATGATTTAAATTATGCTGTTCCAAGCTCTGAGTAACATCTCTGGAGGAAACAAATTTTGCAGGTCTGGTGATTGTCTATCACTCAAGATTCCACCTACATCTAAACTTACTTGCTTCTGAGACTCAGATCAAGAGTGGAGTAGGGTAATTTGGCATCAGAATACAAAGTGGTAAATCCTCTCCTTACACTTCTCTTCTTCATCCCACCCCCTCCATCTTCCTAAGCAGTAGCAAAGACTTTATTGGAAGTGTCCTGAAAGGTAAATTTGTCCAAGCAGAGTGTTTTCTCTGGAAGCTTTTTGTTTTAAGATTAGAAATTGTCAACTAAAACATTAAGACTGATGCTTTCCCTTAATTCTAGGGTCCATGAGGTGTTCAGCAGAAATCATGCAGCACCATTCTCCAAAGTTCTTACCTTCTATAGGAAAGGACCATTTGAACTAGAAGCTTTTTATTCTGATCCTAACGGAGTCCCATATCCTGAGGCAAAAATTGGTAAGCAGATATTCTGGAAGTGATGCTGTCTGCCATTGCTTGATCTCAGTATTGGTCTTAAATCAACCCTGCAATAGTAACATGCTGCATACAGCTGTGTGATGGTTGTATATTTAATCTTTTATGTCTGGAGGATTCTGTTTTCAGCAGTTCCATTTCAGAGGTAACAGTTTAGTTTTTGCCTAGCTTCAAAAGATGCCTGAGTGTGAACAGAGGAGAGAACTGGAACGTAATGGCCAGGACTAGAATGGGGCTATAACAGCTTCTGAACTTCTTTCAGTTCTCTTTTCTGCCTTTCATGAAAGCAAGCTAGGAACTGTATATAGAAAACTGAAGTGGGAATTATCTAGTGGTAGTGCAACCATTAAACAGCTTAATTATTAGTATTGCAGTTTTCTGTACCTGCTGGATTTTTCCCTTAGTGTTGGGTAAGTTTTAATCAAGACAGACTGAGACCTTGGCAGCTACAAGACTCTGGTAGTGATTTGAATTGGATTGGTGACACTTACGAACAGCTGTTTTTGTCAAAGTGGTCAGATGTTGACAATTTAGAATGCAGAGAGATTTTGATGGTAAAGGGGTGGGTCAGTCAAATACTTGCTCTTTAGTTCCATGCATGGAATCAGATGTTACCTGTTTGCACACTAGGATTAAGAAAAGTTTGTTACTAATTATCAGGTAACTGTTTTTGGTTGGTATTTCAACTGCTATTACACTATTTCAAGGTGGTAAAAAGAAAGACAAATCACTCTTAAGAAAACATATGTTCTTCTGTATTGTTTCATTTATTTGATTTTTCTCTTATTTGTGTGTTTGTTTATATCCAAACTATCCGTTGATTGGGTATTAACCAACAGAACTGCTATACAGTACACTTATCATTGGAATGGTAGTATTAAAGATAAACTTTCCAAATACTTTGGAGGTGGATGGGAGAATACATAGAGCAAAAACATCTCCATCTGATTTAGTGATACTTTGCTTAATATATAATGCACTACAAGGTTAAATGTAATTATTTCTAACAGGAACCATCAATTGCTTTCCTTATTTTGAAGTAAATGTTGCATGGTGGTTTCACTCCTGGTCACAAAAATAAAATACTGTATGTCTTAGAAACCAGCACAGTATTCTGTAGTCACAGAAACAACAGACTTGAAATAACAATTATGGAGATGGAAAAAACAATAGTGAGATTTGTCTGTCCAATTCAATGGCTATAGCAGATGAAAAGATGTTTTAACTGCTGGTCTGCAAACTGAAAATGGAATTTAAAAATCGGATTTGTTTTGGCTTGCCCACCAGTCTGCTCAGAACAGAGTTGTTAATGGGTCTGGGGGAGTGAGTCAGTAGTTGGGATGTAACTGTCAAAAGCAAGGATGGGTCACAACCCAGTGTTACTGGATTTGCAAGAGGGGATTAAGTCTTTAACCTATAAAGTAGCCAGATAAAAGTTCATATGCATGAGCACCAGATCCACGAGAACAAAACGGTGCATGTGAGTGTGAGAAATCAATGAATTGCTACTTACCAGTTACACAAGTGTCATAATCGCCAGGTTACTGTTCTGGTGACAAACAACCAGGGAGAAAAAAATATTTGTCTGTTTAAGCTAATGTCAAGGAGATCTGACTCTTCATATGCTTTTAAGCTAGCGGTCTATTTATTTCAAGTATTACAGTGGCTGCAAAATTGCACTCTACTTCAGTGCAAAGCATACTAACAGGCTTATATGGATATTAGAAATGATTTTTATGCTTCCAAAAATTCTGTTCCCATACTGGATAATAAAGGGTCTTTTGAAAAGACACTCAAGCCAATTCCAAAAATTGTATCATAGACAGCCCAGTTATGGGAGGGCGAAGCACAACTATGGGAGAGTGAGTTTTACTTAAGGTATTTATTCTGTGTAACTGGTGTCAGGAAAAGCTACCCTTGTTGAAGAAAATGAACATTTTTCCCTTTTTAAGTTGTAAGCAAAAATATGCTAATATTTGCCCTAATTTTGTGTCTTCAGTAGTATTAAGCTCATTTTGGGGACTCACATGTGCACAGATGGTAAGGGATTGTAAAGGCTTTTGGAACTTACTACTGAAGTTCTATCTCTTTTCAAATCTATCAAAAAGATATTAAAAAGAACATTCATTTTTGTCTTGGATTTGTGTGCTGAATTTTACAAGCCTAAAAAATAAGGTGAAATCATGTCTTTAATACTAGGCAGAACTGGCATTAAACAGGAAAGAATCTGCAATGATATTTCTGGAGGGAATCCATGAGCAATGAATTGGCTTTGCTAGCGTGATCAAAGACGTAGATAGCCTTTTGTATGGAAGAGAGGGATGTTACTTAACTCTGTAATGTTATCTGGTTAATGCCACCCTGTGAATATTCTTTTGGTTTTAGGTAGGTATGTTATACAGAATGTGGCAGCCCAGAAGGATGGGGAGAAGTCTAAAGTCAAAGTGAAAGTCCGTGTCAATACTCATGGCATTTTCAGCGTGTCTACGGCATCCATGGTTGAACCAGTTAAAAATGAGGAGAGTGAAGATGTCACTGTTGAGACTGAAGTCGAATCTCAGGACCAGAGGCCTCCTGAAAATTTGAATGATGTGAGTTGATCTTTCTCGTGCATCAACATCCTTACTGATGACAGTGCATTCTGCAGTTAAATACTTAGGAAAATAACTTTTTAAGGAGGCAAGTGAGGTTAATTTTGAGATGTTCAGTGCTGTCGGGGGGGGGGAAAAAGAACTTTTTATAAAAATGGGAAAAAATTAGTGCTGCTGTCCTGAAAAATAAAAAAGTGTATTTTGAAATGAACTGTAAAGCCTCTTCAGAAAGTGTCAAGTTAGCTCTAATATAACCAAACGGCAGCAGGAGGGTGGACTTTCTTGCAGCTGTTTATCTGTGTACTCTGAATAGCAGAATTCGGTTTGGAGCATGTGTCATCTCTGCTGTCTGTAGTGAGATGGGGTTTGTTTGTAATCCTGCCAAGTATTAGCCAAGTTTTGAAACTTCTTGTGGAAGAACTGAATTGTTCTGCAGTATTGAAGGAGGGGGGGACAGTGGGGAATAATGCAATATTGTTACTTTGGACTTGATGTTTAAAGAATTTGAGGGGATGTAAAACTGAGAAGCTGTGATCCAGTAAAATAAAAGCCACTTTCAGTAAAAGACAAGTGGTAGCATGCACACACACGTGAGTTTTAAGCTGTGAGCCTGGCACTGGCATCATTTTCAAAGTCCTACCTGAATTGTGCCTAGTCGGTGTCGTTGCTAGTTCAAGCCTGTATGTCTGCGTGTGCACAGAATGTTCTCTAGGGCACACAGTACAGCACGCGTGTCAGCAGTGAAGTGCCCTCTAACTTCTATTAAGTACAAGTGCACATGCCTTCTACATCCTTTGTGCCTGGGCTTTCATTTCAGAAAAATATCCAGCAAGAGAACAGTGAGGCTGGAACACAGTCCCAGGTACAAACTGATGGTCAGCAAACGCCACAGTCTCCCCCTTCATCAGAACCTCCCTCTGAAGAAAACAAAATCCCAGATGTCAAGAAAGTGAGTGACCCTTTAACTCTGTTGAAAATGTTGTACTCTATTATGGTGGCATTAAGATGGTAACATATTCCAGAAAAGTAAGGAACTTGGTGCTCAGGACCGCTTTCCTTTATTTGCTTTTTATTATGGAAAATGATCTGTATAGATTTTAATGATTTTTTCAAAGAGCTCAGAAAATTCCTGTAAGGAGAAAGTCTCTCTACCACATCCCTGTCTCTATGCAGTGTTACAGACCTAACTGGTTTAGGTTGCAGAAAATTCCATTTAATGGCTGTTAGAGATCAAGCTTATTAGATCTACTGAGAGAAGCTGAAATTGTGGATTCTTAAAACAGGAAACAACCTTTGTGAAAAACTGGAATTCGCATAATACTTGTAGTAGTTTGCTTTTATGTGGATGGAAAGTGTTCTTTTTTTCCACTTCTGGAAAAACTGCAGAGATGGATTATATATCTGGAAGATGCCCTTTCTGTTGCTCAGTACTTTCCATGAAGTAGACTGTAAACAACCTAGGATATGACATATAATCCCTGAAAGGGAAGATGTCTCAAATATGTTGAAAATTATGAATCTCTGCGTGTTCTAAGTGTTACATCATCAGAAAGAAGTCAGGAACTTTATCTTATTCTTCTTCTCTCCAACTCAGACAAATGAGAAGAAAGGTGATCAGCCTCCAGAAGCTAAAAAACCCAAGATAAAAGTGAAAAATGTGGAACTGCCTATTGAAGCTAACTTGGTTTGGCAGTTAGGAAAAGATCTCCTCAATATGTATATTGAAACAGAGGTGAGTTAGTGTGGTTAGGCTGCTTTCTTGATTACAGTTATTTAACATTTCTCTGCTTTTTATGACAACTTCTGATCTTTTAATGTAACACTGAAATGCAGACTGACACCTAATTTCCCATGAGCTAACACACAGCATTAACATATAGCTGACAAGTGTTGATCAAAAAGTGTCATTTATACTGATAGCATCAGAACAGTATTCCCTGCTGTGAGCACAGATTGGTTCAAGGTGTTAAATCTAGAGAAGGACATCCCATTTCTTCAGGTAAGTCCACTATGTAACTATAGGAATGTTAGCAGTTATGTGAACCAAGGCCTCTGGGGGACTGTTTCACAGAAGTCATGCTTTTTGTGATGCCATTTTAATATAAATAATTAAAACACTTTTCTGATAATATTCAGGGTAAGATGATTATGCAAGACAAACTGGAAAAAGAAAGAAATGATGCAAAGAACGCAGTGGAGGAATATGTGTATGAGTTCAGAGACAAGTTGTCTGGACCATATGAAAAGTTTGTTTGTGAAAAGGTAGGTTACAGCCTCAAGAGCTTCTCCAAAAACATTATTATCAATATATGTTCTGTATTATTTGGTCAAGCTTCATCATATGCATCCTGGAAGTAGTTGAAAATCATTACTTATTTAAATGGCTGTGACTGAAGAATTAGCTTCTCAGTTTGGCAAATGGCATATAGCCCTGAAAGCAAACTTTGTCATCAGGGAAAAAAATGTTTACTTAAAGTTGCTGACTGGAAATGGAAGCTGTATTACAGCTGTAATACAGCATCTATAACCGAAGACATTTACAGCTGTAATACAGCATCTATAACCCTTCGGTTATAGAATTCAAGCTTCAAGCACTGTCCAAATCCAAGGCAAACAATTACAAGTGCTGCCTATGCTGTGGACTTCTATCTTTCCTATTTAAGAGACGGGTATGATTTAATTGCCTTAATGAAGCAAAAGCTGCAGTAGAAATGCAGTTTTCCTTCAGGAAGCTAAGAATTAACGCTTATATTTAACTGTCCTGTATCTATAAGAAACATAGTTGATCCATATTTTGATGCTCAACATGTTGAATTCTGGTACACAGGATCTGCAAGGGTTCTCTGCACTCCTGACAGAGACAGAAGGCTGGCTCTATGAAGAGGGTGAGGATGAAGCTAAGCAGGTGTATGTAGATAAACTGGAGGACTTAAAGGTAGGTCTGTTTGTATGCCCCAACAGCAAAATTTCCAAAATACCACCAGAAACAGTGTAAATGGCTGTTAATGAACTCTCTAATATATAAGAAATGCTTTTTCTAGAAATTAGGTACTCCAATTGAAATGCGCTATCAAGAAGCAGAAGAGCGACCGAGGCTCTTAGAAGAACTGGGACACAGGCTCCAATATTATGCTACGATAGCTGGGGAATTCAGGAATAAAGTAAGTGCCCTGATCTTTCTTTTCCCTGAACTCCACCAGCTGGCAGAGATTTCAAAGTCACTTTCAGATGACCTGCAGTTTCTTATTGTATAGGTGATGAAGTTAACACCATAATTGTCACCCCATACTCAGCTTCAGTTGCTTTTTATGTTTCTGCATATTTTCAGACACAAAAGGACATTCTCATAAGAAGTAAAGGGTAGACCATAGTCTGATTGCTGATCTTTTAAAAGCCAATCTGACCACTTTGAAGGTGTGCAGGTGTGCATTAAAGTTATACAGTCCTTTTTTTTCCTCTCCCAGGAATGGATATTCCAATATTCCATTCCTGTGCTGGTTGAGAAGCATGAGCATAAAGGACAGATCAGGCTAAACTAAAACATATGTCACATCATATATATGATTTACCCCTTGTTGTCGCTGGCATTTGAAAATGCCTTTCTTCATAAGCATGCCTGCCTCTGAAAACCTAGCCCATAGCTTTCAGCTTAGCAGTTTAGGGTAGCTCAAACTAAATTTGACATTGAAACTTGCAGCAGAAACAGTTTTGTCTTTACAGCTGTAGATTATAAAAACGTTTTTAAGTGAACAATGCAGTACTATTACATAGTCTTGAAATAACTAGTATCATTGAATACAACAGGTTTAAGTTTCAAATCCCTCTTCTGAATTCCCAATCAAAATCATAGGTTGTGTTGCTGGGTTAGTTACTTTATTAGTTACTTGCCTAGCTGTTAGCATTGCACTGTGGGGAATGTTTCCCAAAGCTGAGCCACTCTGAGCTTTCCCATTCTGAATGCCACAGAATAGCCCCATCCCAACTGCTCTGGGACCTCTTCAGACTCCCCAGAGAGAAGGCAGTTTCCTTCAGCAGTTGTTTCGAATGTCATGTTACCTTATTGCATGACCAGCCTGTGAAGCCTGGATTCCCCTGTGTAAACTAGCTCTCTTGCTTGGTTGTTGGACAAAGGAAGCTTTATTTTGACACCTATATTTCTTGGTCTCTCTTGCTGTAATAGATCTGGCTTGTTGCCAACTTATGATTATTTTCAAAACCAGTGAAGATGATAAATAGTAATTAATTGGAATAGTCTTGTCATAACCTGATGACAGCAAACCTGACATTGTTAACTAATCTAACACATCTGCATTTGTGCAGGATGAGAAATACATACATATTGATGAAATGGAAATGATGAAAGTAGAGAAGTGTGTTGGTGAAGTGGTGGAGTGGATGAATAATGCTGTAAGTGCACAGGCTAAGAGGAGCTTAGATCAGGATCCAGCTGTGCACTCGCGTGAAATTAAGGCAAAGCTACAGGTAAGTACTGAAATAAACTGAGTTTGGAGGCTGGTGCTAAAACTAGAACAGCCTTTTTGGAGTTTCACTTCACATTTAATCTCACTGCTCTGGTGTCCTTAAAGTGTAGTTAGAAACTACAGGTAGCATGTGCTTCAGTGGAAAGCAGAGCAGCTTTTAATACTGCATGTGGTCCTGGAGAGCTATAGACATTTTATGTCTTTCAGACATTTTGAATCAGATTGTTTTTGTATTACTGGCAGCTGCAGAATAATTTTGAAAGACATTTAAAATACAAGACATTAAATGAAGTACTTTATCCATGGAGCTTTTATTAAGTCAGTCAGTTAAGTTAGCTCAGAGTGCAGTCTGTACATGTCAGTTTGGCCTCAGCAAGCAAGTAAAGAGACCAGTTTGAAGCATTAAGAAGCACAGGGCTCAGTATACTCTGGTAAAGCCAGCAAGTCCTTTATTGAGCTCCGTCATCTCCTTGCAGGAGCTGAACAATATCTGTGAGCCTATTGTCACACAACCCAAACCAAAGGTTGACTCTCCTAAGGAAGAAAATCCATTAAATGAACGGGGTGATTATAAAAATGAAGATATGGGAGAAGATGACAAAAATTCTGAAATGCCCCAACAAAATGGCGAATGTCACCCAAGTGATCAAAACACCATGAGCATGGACTTGGACTAAACCACTGCACTTGCAGCAAATTGCTTCATCCCATGACAGAAGATATTTTTGCTGTCGTATGTAATGGGAGTTGGGGGGGCAGGGGAGGATGTATTGTTTTGGAAACTATTTATATTTTTTCTTAAAAATTGTCTGGAATATGCTGTATTATGGGAGGAGGAATAGTAATAGTGGTGGTCATGACTATCCTAAAAGGAAAATTGCCTTGGTAACTTTCAGATTCCTGTGGAATTGTGAGTTCATACTAAGCTTTTGTGCAGTATTTAACCATTTGCATCACTAAAGATGAAAAGAAGCCCTTGCTCTGAAATATACTGCTCCTTCAAGATGTTATAGCTGAAACCTTCGTAGGCATTTGTAGATGCCAAGGTAGTTTTCTTTCATCTGGACATCTAATTGGGTATGTCAATAAAAAGCCAGTGTCTATCCCATTCATAAGGACTTTCCAGAAAAATCCTCCTGTTCTGAGGCTTTTGACCACTGCAGTCCAAAGCAGTTATCGGATAATAAGATGGTGAAATGTGTTAGTAGCATGCGGAAACGCTTACGTTTCGTCTCCTGCTAAACAATACATTTTTCATGTGGGGTACATAAAATGAAGGAAATGCTAATTCTGTTAGTGTTATTGTGAAGCCTTTTAATGAGCTTTAAAATAAAGTTCATTTTACTGGTATCTCCTGACTTGTTGGCTTTAGTTATGTTCAGTACTTCTGGTATAAGTCAGTACCTTCTTCACTGTTGATGGCAGATACCCAAGGCCCCTGCTTTGCTTTCCTGTGCCTGAGTCCTAAAAAGCTGCAGCTCTCTGGCTTAGCACAGTATGGTTTGTTTAGTAAGCTGAAAGGAACAACTGCTTAACCAAAGAGACAAATATTGCTTTTTCCCTGCCCTGAAGAATGAGCACAGCTGAAGGAACCCAAAAATTTCACAAACATTATGAATTTGATCTTTAAAAAAAGTAAAATTCAGATCCCTGTAGCTTAGAGACTACAATTTGCAGTTCAGAAGATATTTAAAAAATGATTAAAGACTTAACACAATTTCAAGTTCCTTTTTATTGTAGATTGAGCTAAAAAGCTCTGTTTCAGACATTTTAAGTAAGTGACTCTGGTTAGACCTTGATAAGTGGTTTAAGAACTAAAAACTCTTCTCAGGTGAATCTCTGAAATCTATCAAAGAAGCTTATATTTTTAGGTACGTGTAGCAGAGGAAGGGGCTGAAAATTCATATCCTCCACTTTAGATGTCAAACTCTACTGAGGAATCGGGTATGTGTTAGCTGGGTGCTGTAAGCCACAGAGTTCAGTGATGCAAGGTAAAGGATGTGGCTCAGTACGATTTTTTGTCTGCAACAACAAAAAAGGAGCAAAACTTCCTCTTTCCTCTTCTAGAGTTACTAAAGTCAGGAGTAGTGTAAAGGATGTGGCTCAGTACGATTTTTGTCTGCAACAACAAAAAAAGAGGAAAGAGGAAGTTTAGCTCCTCTAGAGTTACTAAAGTCAGGAGTAGAGCTGTGAGGACTGGTGCTTATAATGTGCCAACTAGTCTTACTCTTGCCCAGTCTTTCTCTTCCCATTCCT